GAACAAACAGAACACGAACTTTAAATTCCACTGGATGCTTTGGAAAATCAACACCGCACTTCTAAATGATGAACGGTTTGTGGGTATTGTATCCGAGCTCCTAAAAGAGGTGGGGGAAACAGAAATCGGCCTAAATCAATTTTGAGAAATTTTAAAAGAAAATGTTAAATTGACCGCAATTGAAACGTCTAGCAATATTAAGTATCAGCTTAGAGTTTGCGAACGTCAACTGCAAAGAAACTTACGGTCCTTTTACCAAGCAGAGAGTGCAAATCCTGGCGCAGACCTTGAGGATATACGATTTGGGAAGTCAGAATTAGGAAAGTTATACCAAGACAAATACAAATTGGCAGTTGTACGCTCACGGTCCGAAAAGTTTTTTCTAGTTGAACAATCGACCAAGGGAGCCTTGACTGACGAAAAAAGGTATGCCCTGTATAAATAAATTTAAGAAAAAGATTATCGCGAGATTAGTAATGATGCAGATGTTATTGAGAGCGCCTTTGTCGAATATTATAGGCAACTGTTCGGGAAAAAAGCCGCCTCCAAAAAGGTTTTCACAACTAGAGTTTTTTGGCTCATGCCTCAACTAATTGAGGAAATGAAAACATGGCTGGAAGGGGCGATAACCACAGGTGAAGTTGAACAAGCAATCGACTAATGAGCACGGCCAAAAAGACCGGATCCTGACGGTCTTTGCGCGGAATTCTACCAATTCTTTAAAAAAGAAATTAGCCCTTTATTTCTTCTTATCTTTAGAAAGGCATACGATAAACAGAAACTGCCGCGCTCATTTGCTGTAGCCCACACAGTCTTGATTCCCAAGTCCGATTACACAGTCAAGAGACGTAGCGTTAGGGGTTACAGACCTATTAAGTTATGTAAATAAGATTATAAAATATTTACGAAAGTTCTCAGGCGCAGACTTCAAAGCGTTATATGCAGTCATATCGGTGTCCATCGAACCTGCGGTATAAAAGGATGATCAACACAAACTTCCGTACACGTTGCGAGAAGCTTAATAGAATCTTGAGAGGAGGACGGCCAAGAAGCTATAATTCAACTCGACTTTGAAAAAGCATTTGATTGTGTGCGGCATGACGTGTCAGAAAGGATTCTGTCACATGTCAATGGGCAGATGTTATCACTAAAGGCGTAATCATAGCGTACAGAGGATGTACTATAGGCTTTTGCTAAACAACAATGTATCAAAAAGTATACCGGTGTGGTCATCAGTGAGACAAGACTGTCTCTTGTCACCCCTTTTGTTTTCCTTGTACTTGGAACCCTTCTGTTTGTGACTGAAGGCGAGCAAAAATATTAAACGATACATTTTAATCATGGTAGAGGTTAAAGTGTCAGCGTACGTTGACAGCGTTGCCATTTTTCGCACTGACAAAGTAGTGTAACCGAAATGGTAAAGGTTACAAAGGAGTACTATGAAGCGACAGGAGCTGCTGTAAACTTGCAGAAATGCTATGAATTCTGGCATGGAAATGCGGCCTCAAATCCTCCTCTATATGCAAGAATAAGCTGAAGTAGATACTCCCTCCACCTATCTCGGAGTACCCCTGCAATATTACAGGACTATAGTACATCTTACTGGACTGAAATGGCAACAGATTTAAGAACAAAGGTGTCAACCTGGGCTAATCGAGTCACAGTCTGCAACCTTTTTCTGGTTGCGACACTCTGGTTTGTGTTTCCAAGTTCTCGCATGTGGGCCTACAAACATCCAGAAATTAGATAGGGTGTTCTCAACTTTCATTTGGAAATCGGGCTGGGGAAGAATGCGAAGGGACAACCTTTTCCGTCGTGTCAAGTCAGGCGGTCTGTGACTCACGCATCTCTTTGTGAGGCAGCTAATTTCGCGATTCTTTTTTTACGTGACCAGAATCACCCCTTTTTTGCGCACAGCAACCCAGCTGAAACTGGCGAATTCCCTAACTGCTGTGCTGGTCACGAGCAATCGTTCTAAGCCTCGAAGTCTCTTCGGGTTTTTGAAAGAAGAGATGCCACCAAGTTTTTACATGCGCGGTTTTCAAAGCAATACCTTGGCGATGTCATGAAGAAAAGGCTAGCCCGCGGTATGGCGGAGTGTCTCTTCCTTGCGCCTTTATGTCGTTCACTTTACAGACTGTGTCCAGGACAGGATGTGCTATGTCAAGTGAAGAATATGTGCGTCCAGCCAGCTGTACGGTCTTTCTTCTTTTAAGCTGCACAGTGGCTGATTGCCGGCTAAACCTTGACTTAGGGAAAATGCGATTTTTGTGCTGTGGTCTGTTGATTGCCTCCAGTGCTAGACGCCCGAAGCTATTGAACCTACTTTCATCTACTGTTCGTACACGGTCTTTTTCTGGGACATTCTGCAACGAACATTTAAAAACGATATGTGCATAACCTGCGTGACAATTCGTTACCTGCCAGTCAAGAAAGACGACACTGTCCCTTATGACCTATTCATGTTACTTGGCTTATTTAGCATATGCAAAGCGTGACTGGAGTTCTGGCACGTCGCCCCGCATATCCAACCTGTACGTAAACACTTCATTGATGTTGTCTTTCAAGTCGAGTCTGTGCACTGTAGGTCTGCCGACACTGCCCCGACTAGGCGCAATTGTTCCACGCAATCAAAAACATTAAAGAGTTTTAGTCAACCCAGAAGTGCTTGGGTGATCTGTGGCAAAACGGAATTCTATTTTATGCTGCAATTGTTGCCGATAAAGAAAGAAAAACGCCCTTGTCAAAATGGTTATAATAATAATAATAATAATAGTTTATTTCGACATGCATATGTCTGGGAGGCTGCGGCAAAAGAAGACGCGAAGTCCTCTGACGTGGCCACCAGTCCCCATTACAGCACTCGGCACGTACTTCTAAGGATACCGAAAAAAATGAACATCAATTACCTAATTCACATCAAAACAAGTTTACAGATGAAAACATTTGAAGAGTCACAAAGTTGAGTGAAAAATAACAAACACTGTTACATATAATATAATTGATCACATTTGCACATTTGAACTAATGGCACAAGTGGCAGGTGCATATTGTTCGATTGAAAGAAAATATAATTTGGTCATTTTCCTAAACATCTGGAGATTGCTACAGTTGTGTACTGTTTGAACTATATTTGCATGAGTATTCAGTAAGTCAGCGATTTGATAATGAAGTGTTTGAGTTCCATAGTTTGTTCTAACATTTTGTTTGATGTAAAAGGTGTGTCTAAGAGTGTAATCGGCAGGCTTATGAAGGTAGGCGTTGAAGAACGAGGTTTCATCCCGCTTTATCTCGTCAAATATAATGTTCGCTAATTTAATGGAAAAAACATGTCCGATGGGTAATAGCTTGTATTTTTCGAATGTGGGCGATGTATGCTGAATATAACCTAAATTATCTATGAACCTAACGGCCTTCTTTTGTAAAAGAAAAACTTTTTTAATGTTTGTTTTTGTCGTGGTTCCCCAAACTAAAAGACAATACTGTAGGCGGGAATACACAAGAGTATAGTAAAGCTGCAGTTTAAGCCAGTTTGGTAACAAGTGTTTGACTTTATTCAGTATACCAATTGAACGTGATATATCACATCTAATTTTATTTACATGGTTCGTCCAACTTAAAAACTCCTCAAACCAAACCCCAAGGAACTTATCAGCCGAACTGCTTTCTGTCGTACAGTTTAAAAATGTAACATTCAACTTACGCTGAACAAGTTTATTTCTGGACCTGAATATAACATATTTTGTCTTCGCTGTGTTTAACTTTGGTTAGACCGCAACCACTGAGATAGCTCATTAAGTCAGCAATTTACACACTGTTCAATTTCATCGAGATTTGCCTCGGAAAAGAAAACGTTGGTGTCGTCCGCGTACAGGATAATATCGGGGGTTCGCGGTATATTAACTATGTCATTTATATATGCCAAAAATAACAAAGGTCCGAGGATTGAACCCTGAGGAACGCCAAACTGTATAAGGGAAGTTTGTGATGTAAAACCGTTTAGAGATGTGAATTGTCTTCAAGCTGATAAGTAATTCTTTCATATTAAAAATAGCGCAAAAGAGACGGGACAAAAAAACGAAGAAGCACACAGGACAAACGCGTTTGTCCTGTGTGCTTCTTCGTCTTTTTGTCCCATCTCTTTTGCGCTATTTTTAATATGAATGTCCACTACCAGCTTGCCCAGCAGACCAAGCTTTTACAAGTAATTCTTGATAAGTTCGAGAGCTAATCCCCTTATACCATATCGTTGTAGTTTTCCAAGAAGAATATCATGCTTTATAGAGTCAAAAGCTTTCCGAAAATCTAGGAATATATCTAGGAATTATAGTGCTTGGCCCCCATGCAAAGGGCCGAGGTTCGATGCCTGGGAGTGGACGCACCATTTTGTTATTTTTTGTAAATGTCGCTTTCTGGTAAATTCGATAACCTTGTTGCTGGTTCGATTTTCGAATATTCTACACACCGAACCTTATGCGCCGCTTGTTTCAAAAGCACCACGCGTGTACATGGGGCTCCACGAGGCGAGCCGAAGTCAGTCTCGTCCCAGCTCTCGATGCTGTTGTTACACTGACATGGACGCCTGCGACGCTAGCAGCTCCTTCTGTTTTGTTTTGGGCACAAGTTGGCCCCGTTAAACGTTCATAGCTTGCTTTAGTGACTCGTCGCCTTATCAATTGTCATTCGAGACATCTTTTTTGGAGGCGGTGTTGTCGAGCCTCAGCCCTTTGTTTGGAAGCCAAGCACGATAACCGTTCGGCTACGGGCGCGCTTGCTAGGAGACGCGCGTGGAATTCCACAATTCTTCGTGCATTATTTTGTTCACCTATCCACCAACACAGAGTTCGCAGACAAGCCTGCTTTACCTAGACTAAGCACTGTGCGTGCGCAAAAACCCAACTCGAGAGGAGTGCAGCGCTTGCCCACGCGCAGTACCGACAGCAGCGTCACCGCCGTCCCGTGACGTCAACGAGTTGAGGGTGTCTATGGGTTTCACTTACATATCGATGACCTCTGCGCATGCTCCCCTTCAAGCGAGGACGAAACGGGAGCCTCTTTTCCGCTAACTTGCCCAAGCTTTTTTTCTTGCATTCTGGAGATGAGTTTGACGCTGCGCACATCTTTCCGGGCCCTGCCGAGGATGACAGAGAGGTAATGCCAGTCAATTAGGGTTTCTCAATTATTTATGGAAGCTACACGGCTCTAAACAAACAGTCGGCATTCTCTGCGTCTTTGCGTGTGTCCTCCTTACCCGTGGACGGCGAACATTTTTACACCTACTATTCGGCCCTCCTGAGGTGTACAAATATGGGCGCACAGTTGGCGCTAACAACGGATCGCCTGCTTCTTTTTCTTTCTCTTTTTCATTTACAACTTTGTAGGCAGTTGCGTTTCAAGCGACGAACGAGCGGTGTATTGAACAAAGCATAAGTATATACGCTGAGCATACGATCATATGCACAGAACGACTGCGCGTAACAAACAGCACGTGATAAAAGGTTGTCATAAAAAAGTGAATCGTAAAGAGTAATGTTTACCTCCCTTAAAATCAGTTTCTTTTATCACCATAAACGTTACTGTGAGCTTATAATACTTAATATGCTATGTATTGTCATCCATTTCCTCCGTTTATCTGTGTGATTTGTTACTGCCTCAAATAAAAAGAAACTCGAGAAGTTTTGAGCGAACCTCGCCTGTGTACGCGAAAATGCGGCCGCATGAAAGAAGCGAAATTTCGCACTCGGCCCGGTATGCTTCTGAAAATAATTTATCTCGCCACTTTATTGCCGAAAAAACAGGTTTGTGAAGCTTACTTTTTATGGTTGATAAAGAAAAAATGAGGTTTAAATAAATTTATTGAAAGAAAAGTTGTCAATCATAAGACTTTATAAGTGATCTGGACATGTGCATGGACTTTTTTTAAAATTCTGATGTACCAGACATGCTTTTTTTTTACTCAATGATACATGAGTTGTATCAGTAAGAAAGCACAAAACGAGCAGGAGAAAGGATTAGACATCATGTCTGTTTTCTTCCTCCTGCTGGTTTCGTGCTTTCTCACTGTTACATCTGTCCCAACACGCCCGTCAAAATCTTCTACGTGAGATATATCATAAATAGTTTGGTCGCGTTACAAGCATATATATAATCATTAAGTAAAAGATTTGGCAACGGCCCATGTCATTTTATATTAGAATGGAGGTAACATATATGGAATCGTTAAACGCACGGTTTATTAGGACGAAATCATATGGGTAAAATAAATCTTATTGCATATATAAGAACACTTATAAAGCGTATCGTATTAAAAGTAGGACAGCATAAAAACTACGCATTTTTTTACATGACGTTGAATTTCGAATTTTAAGCATTTCATCTCAAGTTGGCAGTGTTGTTTCCTTTATATAATCTATACCTGAAAAAATATATTATTTTTAATTGGCTTAATTGGATACAAACTCTGATTTAATGATTGTTATATCTTAAATAAGCGTACATCGAAAGCCAGCTCGATTCAAACTTGGCCTATTGTTATCAAAGGTGCAAAACTCAAAAATTCAAAAATAGAAAAATTTCGAGAGTTCAAATGTTGCCACTCATGAAAGCTGCAAACATGGCAAGACGTACACAAACCTTCTGCTCTTTCGAAGCTCCAAACGCAAGAGCAAATAACGTTCCGTAGTTCTAATTTGCAGTTTTGTCCTAGTCACATATTTTACACCAAGATATTTGTTTTTTTCACAATTTTTTTAGGGACTATTTTTTTTCTTTTTGCACAAGATGAGATGAAATCAGGCATGTATAACACACTGAACACGAATTTTGAGCCGCAATAAGGTTGAATACGAGACCAACAGTATAGTGTAGCACCAAACACAGACCATTTGAAAACAGCGAGACTTTGCTTCGCAGTGTCAAGACGGAGGCGTCTAAGAAGTCGAGAAAGTTTTTCGCGCCGTGGCGGCAAAAAAAAAAAAAAAAAAAAAAACAATGACGAAACAATGGATACTGCGTTGTCCACTCCTTAGAGAAAAAAAAAAATTGCTCGAGATTTGGAACAGTGGCACTGTGGAAATAAGAACTCTTGGTATTTTCTAGAAACGTAGGCGGAAATAAAATTGGTAACAAATAAATTTTCAAATTTCAATTTTTTTTTTTTGCTTCCGCATGTACAGAAGCCGGAGCCAAGGACAAAATTACAATTTTTGTTGGATTGACGGAGTCCGTGTCCTTAGTACTTGGCACTCGGAACCCGGACCTTGTCACTCGGACACAAAACCTGTAGACCATGTGAAAATACGCTACCTGAACGGTTTGTATGAATGAATTCATAATATTAAATATATATTACTCTCAAAAGAGAGTACATGCATTTCTTTACTAACATATGCGCAGGAGAATATTAAAGCTCCACACTCGTTGGCTGTGACACAACCGCAACGCTGCTATGTGGCCACACAAAGAAACGGGAGTCTGGCGCCTTTACTCCATTCGAATTTCGGAGTTTCTTGCTCATGGCTGGACGGAGGTTTGCGATTCTGACCAGATATTCCGGTCGCTGCCGCCACGTCTCTGCATCTTTTGATAAGTGGAGACCTGGCGTGACGGATAGCCAATGTAGCAATTGATGCTTGATAGCATGGCAGGCATTGAAAGCCTGCCGAATCTAGCTACACGTGCCTTCGGCGCGTGCTTTTTTTCATATACACTACCCAGTCTACATAAAATTTTCGGAACAAGATCCGCTCTCAAATGCCGGCAGAAGAATGCCCTACTTGGTAAATGCTCACGCCTTCCTAAGCGTCGTAGAATGAGACACCGCGAAATAGGCGGTTGAATATTTATTTATTTATTTATTTTATTTATTTTACAATACTGCAGGCCAGTTCTCTGGCCCAAGCAGGAGGGGCAAAAATGAAACATATGGGTGCACATGAAAAAATGACAAAAACAATAATACAAAAGAAGACAAGAAATTCATTATCGAATTGGGTACCGTTCTAATGCCTGAATGAAATTGGCTGACTGAATAATGGTTTCTGGTAGCAAGTCCCAGTCCGAAATAGTGCGCGGAAAAAAACTGTGCTTAAAGGCATTTGTTTTTGCGAATAACCGCATGTAGTGATTCTAAAATTAAACTTAATCTTTTTTTAGTAAAATCTTTAGATCCTCGTTGTTTCACACCTGCCACTGAGAATTAGTGTACCAGTCGGTGTCCACTGGTACACCAGCTTTGTTCTGCGTGGGCGAGGCTTTGCTTTTTACAGCGAGAGCTGCAAATCGGTTCTTCCCACCACTGGAAATGACATCCGTTTTGGTTGATGACGTTATAGTTGTATCTGGCGTAGCTTAGCGTAGGGCGTAGGGCGACAGTCGGCGGTATCGTTAAATGCTTGAGAAAACAAAATCGCCAACCGCCGCGGTGTTTTCAGGATTCGTAATCTCCGTCTGCTGCGTGTGAAGCGGCGCGTTACGTCAAAGCTATACGCCTCAGCATCGGCAATCGCCTTTATTCGCATATCCTGATCATACAAGTGCGTACGGGTCTCGCGTAGTTGCTTGCCGTAGTTGCTCTGACGTCGGGATAAAAGCTTCTTCAATATTCATACTTAATTCCAACATTAATGGGTGAAATTCAAAGCTTCGGCTGGGCGGAGCAAGCCAATTGTTCATCCATGCAGTACCCACGAAATAACGGGGCCTCCGCATTAGGTCATCGTCAGTGAATCCATGCGTCACCCCAGGTGACACACGCGCTGAAACTTTTGACGATGCTCAATTTCCACAGACGTGACTACTATACATTCACGCAGGACTGCTAATATAGGTTTATTTTTGTAGGTGGATCCTCTCTTAGGATTTGGCGTTGCAACAGAACACAGGCGATACTGTCTGACCACGGATACCCTGCGTATAGCCATAATCTTTTACAGCTCGTGTCGGATTACGCTTACCCCTTCTCAATCTCGCAGCACGCAGTATCCCAGGAGGGGGTGGTGCATTCGTCCCCGGCCTCGCGGGTCCCAGTACAGCGCTTGTGTCCACCGTCACGTCGGTTCTAACGCTGTACCTTCCTTTTTTTTGGTAGCGGGTGAAGTAGGATGCGTACTCGCCGTCGTCTGCTTTCACATCCGCGCCTGGGTAACGACGGATGAAAGGCCAAAAACGCAACGTTAGCTTGTATGCACTCTGGTGGAACATAGCGCTCGATAAGCCGGTCCGCGTGTTAAGTAATCTCTGGCCATCTCCTCCGCGAGGAGGGCTAGCGGAATCGGCCTTTTCATTGAGAAGTTCCGTCGTTTACAGAAGGTCGTTGCTCTGCGGGGGTTTTGGGTAGCGGCTTGGAACGATGAGGACCAATAAATGTCCGCATTGTGCTGAGCCGGTGCGGTGCGTTGTGTCTTTCTTCAAGGCGGGTGCCAGCAACGAAAATACAACAAGCTTTGTCCGTGTGACGCGGGAATTTTGCTGGCCGGCTTACTCACATTTATCGCCGTCTTCTTTAAGTAAGATGCATATGTGTGGCTGCCTATAACCTGAGTGATTGGATACAAAAATCTTTACGCATGTCGTGTTGCTAAACAATGCTCAGCCTCTAATAATTGGCGATTTCGGTATTACCTATGCACTATATTATAGTACGCGAGGGTGGCAGAAAGTGCAGACAGCACGCCAGGCAAACTTTTCGCGACGTCCGTAGTTCAGTCGAGCATTAGTAATGTGCAAAACCGGAGCTCCCCTAGCGGCTGACTGGCATTAAGGGACACAACTGTCAAGTGAAGTCTCGATTTTCTCCATGTACCACGGCCAACTGCCGAACCAGCGTACCGCTACCTTTTACGGCACCGCAGCGTATGTCGCCGCAGTCTGCGTGTATTGATTTACATGCGCGAGTGATGCAGTAAAATTATACGTTTCTTTTTGTGACTTTATTATGAGGTAAACATTCAAAGCGAGAGCAAACCACGTCGCAACTGCGAAGCTAAACTCTGTACCGATTGCTGTTCTACACGAGCTAGGTGTGCGTCTGTGTGTGTGCTCGTTTTCAACTTTGTTAAACTTCGAGGAGGGCCAGTACCTAGTCTCGCAATGGGCTTTCAGAATTTTCTATCATTCGTAAGTTGTTGTCCTCCTTCCTTTCACTGTTGCGACGCGGATTGCCTTGACCTTTAATAGTTCATCGTCTGATGAACCCACGAAAAGATAAGTATACCGGCTGCATCACATTTACACGTCGAACAATCCACGAAGACTAGGGCGAGGTAACCCGGGGTGGGATGCGAGGTCCAGGTCCGCGGTGACAGTGCTGGCCGTGGTACAGTGGAGGAAACCGAAACTCAGACTTTCGTTGACCGTTGTTTTTGAGAATGCCCCTCATCTCCTAGGAGCGCTCCGGTTTTAAACATTACCAATTCAGGTTTTAGCCAGCTACCTCTTTTGATCGGGCCGTTGCATTGTGCGCTACGTCATGGACATTATTCGGCTGCACCAAAGAATAGCTCTTCCAGTAGAAAAGACACAATTCACGTGTTCCGTTCACGTATGCCTATTACTGTACGTTCGTTCGGCGTTATCATTTTCGTGCTTTTATATTTTGCGTTCTGAACCAACTACTATACACCGTTTACCCTTAAGCTGAGGGTGGAAGCTCCGCCTTCAGAGCGAAATTCTTGCCCCTGCTAACACAAGGGTGAACGCGCAGGCACGCGCAACCAATGAACCGCGGAAGCCAGCAAGCTCGCGCTGAAGGCGGAGCTTTTAGTCTCAGCCCGACATCCCTAAGCTCGTATTTTTTTTTTTGTTGACTAAGACGATGCAAGTTGTAGTCATAGACACAAAAATATTACAACGCGAAAAAAAAATTCTCATGCCCGCGCGCGCCTTTTTATTTTTAGCGTATTGCTCTCCCTCGTAACACCTCCTTGCTTCTTTTATTTGTGACGTGAAAAGTTATGAAATTGACAAGTTTCGTACGCAGCATTTTTATAATATTTTATAACCCCATTCGTAAAGCATGTTTTTAACGGAATGGCGAACGCACTACGACCCTTCTTTTTGAAATACCAAAAATCGGAGTCCGGATTGATGCCGCGTCCTGGCTTTTTATCCTTCTTGGACAGCATGGTGGCGCTCGTCACATGTAGCACTGAGGATTGTCGGTGGGTCAGGAAATCAGACGAAGTTTTTTTTTTTCGGTGCCCGACAACCTCTCAGACTTCGAAAAGGAAATCAGCAAACGGTCAAAACAACTGGGCTTGGTGTCTGTGTACCGTAGTTTCGGTTGTGACACCGCCGGGGCAGCCTTTCACTCAGAACCGGCCCGACGTGGACCCTTATGTCGCCCACAAAACTCCACTGCACGTTCTCTTCGACGTCACACTTTAGGAAAATTTGAGATCGATGAAATGGTCTCAGAAAAACTTCGTACTCGAGAGTGAACCGTCGTCTGCTCAAAACGATAGGCGGCGGGCACGGAGAAGAGCGTGATCGCGGCGATCGCAGGACGAGGGCGAACACGAAACTTCCGGTTTGCACGGTTAGGAGGCGTGAGTGAAACTCGAGTTGAAGGACAACTCAAACTTTGACGTCACTGCACTAGGTGCGGATCACGCGGGAACTTCAAATTCAGCTTTGGAACTTGTTTTTTTTACATCAGGAATACTGAGTTCCCATGTTTCGAATTTTGAGGGTAATGTTCAGGCACAGCTTTCAATCGTTTCGGATAAAACAAAATGTGGTTTGACCTGTCAGTAAACGCAGTATATCTAAAGTAAACGTTTTAACCGAAAACTATGTTGCCGGACCTAGTACTCCCGAATAGCTCCTCTGGGCGAACGTTTTTCTTTTATGACCAATTTGCCAGGCTATGCAAGTTCTGAGATTACCTTTGCCGTCGTCCCGTAAAGGCAGAAATACCGTTTCATCCTTTCCGGGCAGGGTGACGGTGGCCGTGACGGTGGCATTCAGTACTCGGAAGCCACCCTTGGTGACTCTGCTGTATATCACAATCATGTTGGTGCTTTGGACGTGTCGAATGCAGCTCTCGGCCCTTATGGCGTCCTCGTGACCTCGCTGCTTTGTCATCACCACGACGCTCACGTTAACGGGCCCACGTTTTTTCTCCAGTACTACCGTCCATGTTTCTGTCTGAAATAAATCGTCGACGACTAAGCCGAAGAGTTCAGAACAGTTTGCAGACGTGGTCTGAGATAGCGTGGCCGTCTTTACGAATGATGAAGAATTAAAACTCTAACCAAAGTTTTCAAAGAAGTTTCCGACGTTTCGGAACCAGCCGCCTCCGTCTGTATTCGACCCCGGCTCCTTCCAGCCATATCCGCCTACTGCGTGTAATGAACGTCGCCGAGTCCATCAGACGCACCCTTCGAACAACATGGGATAGTGGCGACTCACAAGCCGGTCTCCACCATCCGCAAGTTTCCGTGCCTTTGTATAAAACCGGGAAAATCCGAAAAGCACTCGCCGGTAAATTTTCTGTCAATTCAGAGTTATCCGAAAACTCCGAATTTCGAGGTCACAACGACAAAATAACCATCAAAAAAGACGAATTTTTCCAACTAAAATTTATAAGAGCAGAAGGTCAGTGGTCCCGAGGATATTTCACTTCAGTTTCCTTTGAAATCAAGAATTACTGACAAAAGGGGCTGGCCTTTTAGCACGTCTAGATTCCTTCAGGACCACGGGTGATGGTACCTGAACCTTTTTTTATTTAGTTTCTAAAATTTTTTAAAAATTTTACGTAGTAAAATAAACTACAAATAGCAAAGAATTGGGAATCTAACAAAAATAAACTCCGATTAACCCCAATTCCCGAGCAAAAAATAAACTCCGTAAAGCACCCTCCAAAGTTCACGAGAAATACACTCCGAAAACATGGAATCCTAACCCTCCGTCGTCGACTCCCTCTCACCAAGACAAGACCGGAAAAAGAGGAGTCTCGAGGCCTGAGCCCGGAACGCATCTACGGTGTCGTACATGCGTTCCTTCTTAGAACGCATCTACGTCACAAATACAACTTCAATGAAAGCTACCCTCAAACAAGTGCCCTCACATAACACGCAGCGAAGTCAGGTCACTGCGTGTCCTCCGACAAAAGCGAGATCCTCTTGTGAGAGTAACACTGGCGGAAACGTCTGCATCTAGAATCCTGGTGCATCCACACACACACAATAAAAAAAGATTATTAGCAGGTCGTTGAAAACTCTTTCAAAACTTTTACGTCTTAAAGCTCTCCCACACCGTGAAAAAAAAAAAAAAAACAGTTCTCTACTACATCTACCTCAGAGTCACACGTGATAAAGGGTCGAGCTGGTCCCAAACCTTCGGGAATGTTGATAGAACTTTTGTAGTGAGGTTCGATCCTTCTTAATTTTTTTCTTTGATTTTTTTATAATCAGACAGATTTCTGTCGAAGTTGTTTACTTTTAAGCCTTTAAAGTGAGCCTCTTTTACGCAAAGAAAGAACTAAGGGTACGGCGCATGAACTAAGCTTTATAAAGTCGAATGAATGAACAGATGAATCCGCATGAATGAGCTCGTTTATTTGAGACCTGGCTTCAATCACTGAATAGCTCCGCGGGGTCAAGACCAAGCTACGTCCTACAGCCGGTTCTCGATTCACCTGAATTTTCATTAGAGAAATTCAGGTTTATATTATACTCTCAAATCGTTTCAGTCTAGCATTCAGTTTCGCTAGGCTTATTCTGCAAGCAGAATGGTAGATTAGCGACCAAAGCAACACAAGCGAGAAAGGCCTGTAGGCACACGTCTGCGATAATTCCGGGCTTTGGCCCAGTAGTATCAGTGTTACGCCTAACGCTCATTTTCATGAAGTTTGTTTTGCGCGTAATAGCGTGAGACTCGTGTAGAGAAAATAATAACATATGAGTTGCGGAGGCGGTAAGAAATATAGCGCATGTCTTCAAGGAAACTTCTGTCTTTTTAGTATCCATCACCGCAAATATTTAGAGCTTTTGTGGCTGTTTGATGATAACGCCCGGTTGCGCAGTACTCTTCTCGCACAAGGTCTACTAGCATGAATCAACCTGCATTTTTGACGGAAAGTCAACCTGGCAATGTTGCCGGCAAAAGTCATGGACAAAGGTTTCACGCTCTGAAATCAGGGTTCTTTGCATGCGCAAGTTTCGCTGATTTTGTAAGCAAACACGCTTGTTCTGAACGATAAGTTATCTGTTCTAAGATTGTTATTTCAAAACAATGTCATTAGACCTACTCGCGGAAGGTTGTACCAAGATGATCCACGTTCTGCGAGGTCTGAAGCTTAGGGAATTGTGAGACACAGACTCTTATAGTAGCGGCGAGATGTTTCGGTGGCGCCCTCGTTCGGTTACCTTTCGTGATGTCATTACCTTGTGAACAACAAGTTCAATGGTGTTTGTAATGGGCACGGTGGAAGCCGGAAATGATAGCGCTCGCAAAGCAACACTGCCAACACCGTAAAAATTGAAGTTTTTACATTCCTCTTATTTCCGTCGATGAGACATCCTTTGCTGACGTCATAGTCAGCATTCGACCAATTGTAGTGGGCCGACCATAGCGACGCTTTCGATCGCTCACGTCGCCAATATAGCGCTGTAGTCTCGTTGTATATATGTACAGCTTTTAGAGGAAAAGGAATTAAAGAGCACGCGCCTCGCGCTTCGCGCTGCGCTGGACGATCTATCAAACATATGGTGTCAGAAGTGGGATACGCTGACCACTGCTCTTCTCCCGAACGACAGGTCAGCACACCCTAATGGCCCTTGTCCTGAAACCTTAACCTGGCTTTAACCTCTACGGCCTCCACTACGGACCTATGCTCTTCAACTGCCGACGGACCTGATTCTCCGTAACCGGATGGAACGTCCAAGCCAGGGAACGTGACTTCGTTCCAGATTACGCCGCCTGACCCATTCACGGTTTCGTCGCCGTCAGACTGGCCTCAATAAAAGAAGCGGTTCCTGCGCTACCGCGCTGCTTCGGGACTCTGCGACCGTCCAAGGGAGAGTCAAGTCGACACGCTGGTGTACCTAATGGGCCCCCTGGCAGAGGACATTTTACACACGTTCAAGTTGACGTCCGATGAGCAGAAAAACTGGTGCTCAAGAGCTATGACAACTACTTCATTCCTCGAAGAAACGTCATCTTCGAACGGGCGAAATTCAACACCAGAGTCCAGCTGGACGGTGAGTCCGTCGAAGATTTTGCTACAGCTCTCCATGCCCTAACGGACACCTGCAACTTCGGAGAACTCCGCGAAGAACTGACCCGAGATAGGCTAGTCGTAGGCTTCCAAAATCACAAGGTGTCGCAAACTCTTCAGTTAGACCCCGACCTCACACTCTTGAAGGCACTCACCATGGCGCGTTAAAACGAGTATCCTCAGCTACAACATGCAGAACTCCATCAAGGCCATCTCAAAGGAACTGTAGCCGTGGATGCCCTACACGCGAGAAAGAACAAGCCTGCTAAACACGACTCCGACGCCAAGCCACAGTCTAAAGCCTGGTTCAGACAGTTGCGTTTGACTGCGTTTGACTGCGTTGCGGCAGCGAGAAACCAGGACATCCCTGCTGCTTATATCGCGTGCCAAGATGATTCCTTGGATTGGATTCCACGCTTCATACGAAGCACAGATGTGCCGGTGACTACCTTTCCGCGCTCGACGCAACGCAGTCAAACGCACTCAAACGCAAGTGTCTGAACCGGCCTTAAGGCGCAGCATCAACCCACAAAAGGCAGCGGCAAGAAAAATCAAGCCCGCTCATGTGGCCGGTGCGGTAAAGAGCGGCACGCGCGAGCTCTCTGCCCAGCAAAGAATGGCACGTGCCAAAAGTGCGGAAAGAAAGGTCACTATGCGACTTTTTGCCGGTCGGTGCAAATGCTGCAGACAATCGAAAAAAAGCCAGGATTCCTTGGTTTGGTGGGTGAAACTACCTCGTCAACCTGGGAAGTCACTCTGCAAGTAGAAGCGAAAAGACTGATCTTCAAGATCGACACAGGGGCGGACGAGACTGTCATTCCAGAACGACAGTACCATCAACATTTCAAGCATATCCCTCTAAACCCCACAACACGTCGACTTCAGGAACCTGATGGAAAAGCTCTTCGCATCCCGGGACTGACCAAGCTCCATTTTAAGTTGAACGGCCGAGAAAGCGTCGAAGATGTTTACATCCTTCCGCTACTCCGCACCGCACTTCTCGGCAAGCCAGCCATCAATCACTTGGGACTGTTCAGCTCCCTCAACTCTGTTTCGGTGTTGAACGTCGACAAAGACTTCCCGGAGGTCTTCCAACGTCTTGGCAAGTTACAACAAGAGTGTGACATACTGCTTCGACCTGAAGCTACTTCGCATGCTCTCACGTCTCCTCGTCGGCTGCCTGTGCCCCTGTATGAGAAGACAAAAGAGGAGTTTTTACGGATGCAAGAAATCGGCTTCATCACCGCCGTAACAGAACCCCCCTCTTGGTGTGTTCTAATGGTGGTGGTACCCAAACCGTCAGGAGCACTGCGGATCTGTGTAGACTATACAGAGCTCAACAAGTTCGTTCTACGTGAATGGCATCCAATTCCAGCGGTGGAACACACCCTTGGGACGCTGCAAGGAGCCTCCTGGTTCTCAAAAATGGATGCCACATCAGGATTTTGGCAGATTCCTTTAAGCGAGAAAAGTAAAGCGCTGACCACTTTCGTCACAGCTTTCGGTCGCTTTTGCTTTAATCGCCTACTATTTGGAATCTGCTCTGCCCCAGAATACTTCCAACGGCGCATGAGTGACATTCTCCAGGGTCTTGAAGGGGTTGCTTGCCACATGGACGTTATCCTTGTCTGGGGATCATCGAAGGAACAGCACGAACAACGACTCCGCGCTACTTTCGAGCGAGTTCGAGACGCAGGCGTGACCCTGAAGAGAGACAAATGCCAGTTTTAGCGTCACGAAGATACAGTACTTGAGGCATAGCATCGAGAACAACCACGTAAGACCTGTCGAGAACAAGATAAAAGCCGTCACTGAGATGCCGAGGCCAACCTCCAAGACTGAACTCTGACGACTGATGGGCATGGCCACCTACTTAGGTCGTTTTGTACCTAACATGGCGGAGTTGCTACAACCACTGTCAAGCATGTCGTCATTAAAGCAAGAGTTCGTCTGGGAGACCGCGCAGGAAAAATCATTCTCAAACTGGAAAAGACTACTCCCATCAGATCCAGCCCTCGCGATGTACTCCCCGAAGAGATTAGCTAAAGTCACGGCGGATGCCTCCTCGTATGGCCTGGGCGCTGTCCAACGTCAGCAGCAAGACGACGGTCGCTACGCTGTCATTGCCTATGCTTCTCGAGTACTAACCGAGTCTGAACGCCGTTACGCTCAAATCGAAAAGGAGGGCCTTGCTCTTCTCTGGGCCTGCGAGAAGTTTCACGACTACGTCTGCGGAAGTAAGTTTTGCCTGGAAACAGACCACAAACCCCTTGCCTCGCTGTTTGGGTCGAAAGCGACTGACGACCTGACACCTGGACTGCAGAGGATGCGAATGCGCTTAATGCGATACGCTTATGAAATCATGTACATTCCAGGCAAAGACATCACCGCCGCTAAGGATTTGTCAAGGTCTTCGCTGTAAGGGAAAATCGAGGACAACGAGCTGAAAAAAGAGATCGAAGGCTACATAAACAAGCTGTATTCAACGCTGCCAGTTTTCCCCCCTTCGTTGCAAGAGCTGAAAAGGGAACAAGAAGAAGATGAGCCCTGCCGCCAACTCCGCTCTTTCACACAAAAAGGCTAGCCAAGTCATCGTGATCTGCAGCCTTGCCTAAAGGAGTTCTGGTCACATAAAGGCCATGTCACCGAAGTCGAAGACGTCCTTATGCATGGCATCAGAATCTTCATCCCGAAAAAGTTCCAGGAAGCAACTCTTCGCATTCTGCACGAAGGCCAGTTTGGCATAGATAAATGCCGCGCGAGGGCAAGAAACGCAGTCTGGTGGCCAACGATCGACGCTGACATTGATAATTTGGTGAAGACATGTCGGACTTGCCTTCAACACAAAGGAGACAGGAAAATGCCACTGAAGCCCACGGAGTTTCCGGAAAGACCATGGCAAAAGGTCGGCATGGACCTTTTCTTTGTTGGAGGGTCGTGGTGGCTGATTGTCACAGATTACTACTCGAGGTTTCCCGAGTTAGTGAAGCTCACTAGCTTGACTGGCAATGCTGTCGTCACACACTGCAAGTCCCTCTTTTGCAAGACACGGTATACCGGATGTAGTCATCAGTGACAACGGACCACCGTTTTCCAAAGACCCGATTCATCGTTCGCAGTCTTTGCGAAAGAATATGGGTTTACACACATCACTTCAAGTCCCTACTATTCACAAAGTAACGGTCCAGCAGAAGCTGCTGTAAAAATAATCAAGGGATCTCCGAAAAAGTCGGGAAACCCAAACCAGACTTTGCTTACCCACAGGGCCAGCCCCCTCAAGAACGGTTACTCACCTGCGGAGTTACTAATGGGTAGAAGAATCAGAACAACTCTTTCAACGTCTTCAAACAGCCTGCTTCCTCGTCCCCAGACAAAGAAAAACTAAGGGCATACGAAGAAGAAAGCAGGAAGAAGCAGAAACTATGGTTTGATTCCCGCCATGGGGTGCGAAATCTTCCAGACTTGAACATCGACACGGACGTCTGAGTAGTGGACCTCGAGAAGTTCGGCACTGTCCACAAGTGAGCTGAGGAGCCGAGATCATACTGGGTGGACACTGGCAATACGTCCGTTCGCCGCAACAGGATATACTTAGTCCCGATGCCTGAAGCGACCGCCGAAACCACCAAACATCGAAAAAGTACGCCGAATGTACGCCTGTCTGTTCCTGCATGTACCGACGCGAGCCACACACACGGAAAGTGGAAGATGTGTTGTTCGACCAAAACGTTACGCCACCTGACTTTTCCTTGTTAGAAAAGGAAAGATGTGAGACGCAGACCCTTATATAGCGCTGTAGTCTCGTTGTATATATGTACAGCTTGTAGAGGAAAAGGAATTAAAGAGAACGCGCCTCGCGCTTCGCGCTGCGCTGGACATTCTATCAAACAGAATGCGTATAGCTACCCAGAGATTAAGACATGATTTATACTGTGCCAATGACACGTACCTTCGTTGTTTCAGGAAGCTTCACTTGAACCATTAGAGGTCCCAAAGTCTCTGTAGTACATTCGCTGATGCATTTCACTCCCGTCGGACCCAGAAGATAAACTTTGAATGGCTTTTCTTCGGTGATTGAAGCCGTCACATAAGTGTCCTTGCCAAGCTCTTTAGGGATCGCGAAGGGGATTTTTTGTACCGACGTTTTGGAGTCTAAGTCCACGGTAGTCTCCACCAGCTGAAAATCGAATGCGTCTAATGAGTCAGCGAAGCAAACAAGCGATAGAACATTCACACAGGCCCTGCGATCTTTGTGCAAATCTAAGGATTTGGTGTCAGGCTTTGACAGAGCTTAATTAACAGAAAAGCAGAGATCATCACGACGCCAAAAAATGAAAAGCGTTAGCCCGAATGACGCTTTAAACTGAAACCTGAACCAGTCACTTGGAACTGCTTACAACCGGAGAGGCTAAAACTGGTTCTAAGCCTCTTTGGGACTGATTGCGATCGCCTGTGCAGCGGACGGTCACAAGCGGATTGAAATCAGTTGTTAGGCTCTCCCCTCGTAAGTCAAAATTTTCTGAACTAGCCTTTATTGTTTTTTAGTTGGTGCGAGTAGATGTTTCAATGGCGCAGCACGTTTGCCCATTCCTTTACCAAATTCGGTTTTTATGTAATGACAGCGCGTTAGCCAGGAGAGCATTATGGCTCAGAACGTCATCGCTTCTGTTCACCTGCTTACTCTTCACTCCTTCCCTTCTCTTGCAGAACATTGTTTAGACTGGAGCACATACAATGAACTCGCAGCCTTCCGACCAGTGCATCCGCGCAATAAGGAGGGCAGAATGGCACGCTATCGCTTCAACTGGTTGAGCGTCGAGGTCAACATTTTGGAGTCCTGGGCTCAGAACTCCTTGAGGGATATTAAAATTTCGCTCTTTCTTTTCAATTTATTCATTTATCGCTCTCCCGTGAATGCGTTTTACGGTAGGGTTCTGAGTATTAGGGGGAACAAAAAAAAAATTCAATCAGATGTTTAAAAGCCGCAGAGCTGTAGAAACATAAAATCCTACAAAAAGCTATAAGACGAGAAAAAGCTGGCACGAATAGAAGCAGCGTTAATGTTAAGCCCGATGCATATGCTTGTGTTTTCGGAGCTGTGACGTTGGGCACTGCAGCTTCTACCACGCTTATTGCTGCCGCACAAGCGACGTGACAACATCAAAATCGGAAGTAAAATCGCACCATGTAAAACAGGCGTGACAGGAGAAACTTAAGCTTAAACTTAAACTTAAACCCGTCCAGGCGTTGATACCCAACGTGCAGAATAAATGGACGAATGTGGCTGAACCGTTCAAATCTGGCGGCGAATTACACCACTGCGCCCTAAACACCTCCCTATTGGAAAGACCAGTTCAAACTGGTACCAGTTTCAAACTTGGTTATTCCTCCAGATTGACCAGTTTCATAATGGTTGAACTCGTCAACGTGGTTCGAACTCGCCACACTGGTTGACTGCTCATGGCGGTTGAACTGGTCATACTGGTTGACTGGTCATGGTGGTTGAACTGGTCATGATAATTGAACTGGTCACACTGGTTGACTCGTTCCGCTGGTTTGACAAAAAATATTTCATTTGTTCACACCACCAGTGCGCTTCGGAAATCTTTATTATACACAAATGTAGACACAATACGCCTTCTACAAGCATCAGATGAACATACATTGAGCGCATACAAACATCAATACAACTACAATAACTCGATTACTACTTCCGAGCTCCGCGTTTCCGTCTTTTATATTGGTCGTTTTGAACTTACAGAATTTCTCGGTAACCGCTTAAGCAAAAAAAAAAAAAAAAAATTCGCTGCATGTTTACTTTTTTTTTAGCAATGTCATACCTCTGAAAGTATTTTGCACGGCTCAAGGGATGAATCTTGTAGTAAAAAGTAAACGCTCAATGATGCCGTAATTATTTGAAAGCCAAAAAATCAAAGTGAGAAAGGCAATAAATAAAGTGAGAAAGAGGGCTCCCACTGGTAACCAGTTAGACACGAAAGGCCTGTTGCGTTTGGCCGAGCAGGACTCCAGGCCACGGCAAGAAGACGACACCGGGAGCAGGGCAGACGGACTTTTTAATCCAGGCAAGGTTGCCGACAGACAAAAACCGAAGAACAATACCGGCGGCGGCGCGACCGATTTATATCAGCTGCTGCCATGAACAAATGAAGGAAAAGTGCGATGCCGAAGATATCGCTTTTGGCGCGGCGGCTATCAACAATCGCGCGTTCCTGCTGCGCTCATGCGTGACAACGCAACAGGCCAATCTGGTGACCAGTTTGGTCAATCTGGTTACCATTTCGGCCAGTTTGGTGACCAGTTCGGCGTCTGGTTACCAGTTCGGCCATCTGCTGTCCAGTTCGGCAACTCTAATGACCAGTTAGGCAAATCTGCTGACCAGTTCGGCCAATCTGGTGACCAGTTAGGCCAATATGGTGACCAGTCAGGCCAATCTGGTGACCAGTTAGAAGGCGATCTGGTGACCAGTTAGATTCATATGGTTACCCGCTAGCCCAGTCTCGCTACCAGTTGCATCAGTTGGATTTCCTGTTAGACCAGTCTGACCAGTCCAAATACCAGTCTGACCAGTTCTATTTTCAAACTGGTCTTTCCAATAGCTTTCACGTTACATCCGGCCGAAGCTGACGCCACGAGCCAATCCAGGTCTGTCCCGCTCTCTACTCTGCCACCGCACGGGACTACACATTCCGCGTGTGGCGGCAGTTTCCCTCGAAGGTCACTTGAGACTCATACGGCTTTTGGATTGGCTCCGGTGGCACGTAGCATCCGCTGCGGCCGGACGTAAGCTGAAAGCAAGTAACCTCGCTCGACACCGCAGGGAGTGGTATGTTATCAGAAGAGGCCGTTTCAGATCTCGCTGCTAGTTGTGTTTGAAAAATTATCTTTCATAACAATTGCCGCCTGCATGGACGAACGCTTTTTCGTACTTCCGGAAGATTCGCGTTTACTCTTACCTCAATTTAGTTGACGTTCGATCCGAATGTTCGAGATACCTGGGGGATATAGATAAGGATCCCAGCATGACCTTGCCGAGTCAGTCTCCAAAATGGTCGACGCTCGAACACTCTAGGTGTAATGTTCGAGATACCGAGTGTTGTGGATAAGTAGTCCAGCGTGGTCTTGTTCATTTACTAGCGAGCTGCCACGCCGACACGTAAACGCTCGCTGCTGCCGCCTTCACTGCTCTTTTCTCAACGCTTGTTCTTCCTTCTGTTTCTGGCACATGTTTGACGATTAAACTTTCATTTTCAGTTTGAAGCTTGTCGATTTTTTTCCATAGGCGATAATATGAACGAAGCAAACGAGTGTAGGTTTATGGTGCACAAATCTCACTTCAGGGGACGCGATATGTTTGAATTACAAATGGCTACATGCGTTGTTATCGTTTTTTTTAGTGCTTCCAAAAAGTTGGAAGCATGGCAGCTTCGCTCGCCGAACACAAGAAACAAACTACATTTTGTAGAAATCTATTGTTAGTCATGGCCTCTTAATGCAGGCTTAATTTAGATCCCACACAAGTCTGTGAGGACTATTCCGTGATATGAACAGTGTGCATCAACCGATAATGTTTGTAAGCTGCTTTGATATTTGATAAAGCGAATTATTTGAAAACTCGATTAATGGGAATCCGAAATCGAATCGAATTATTCGGTCAATCAATATTCAATTCCAATTCTAAACAGAAATATTCGCATGCCCCATAAATATCACTGATGCGCCGACGGGATTAGCACAAAATTTCGCCCTTTTCCAACTGCCGCTTCGCCATACGAGCTAAGCTCAATGAAAAGCTGGGCTGGTTTAACACTTCCTATATTCGTTTCTCTATTGGAAATAAGAAAAATATAAAGTCTGTATACACCGTGGGGAAGTACGGTGTTCCCCAAACTTAGCGCTGCCATGAGTGGCGAAGAATACAAAAAGTGGCCATTTTCGCATGGCAATCGAATTGTTTCTGCTTTTGCCAACAGCCATCGAGTGACACGCGAAAGAGAAAGACGAATGGCATCAGTAATTGCAGCTGAAGCCATATTTCTAGCGATCACTGACGGCATTGTGCCTCCAAGACCAGATAGCGATGCCGCAAGTATGACTTCTTTGTCTGGATCAGTTCCAAAAAATGACTGTTCTTTTTTTCTACTGCAACCCATGATGTCACGTTGGACGCCTAAGCACTGCGGGCAACACATGTTTTAAGTAACTGAATTAACGTTTTTGACCAGAGTTTAGCCCATAAATGTAGCCTTGGGTTAATTAGAAATATTCAAATCGAGCTCGAGTTTGTGTATTTGAAGTCCTGAGGCTAGAATAATAAACTTCTGTAAAGATAAACAAATTTGAGCTACAATTTAGAAATTCGTGACTGAAAGGGACTGTGGGCCGTTGCGTAACTGAGTTCATCTAATAACGCTGAGGCAAACTCACAAAGACCGGTTTCTGGCTGTCCTCGAGGTGTGTCGTGGTGGACAAGACGAAGGAGATCCCCATCGAAGAGATGCTGTTCTTCTGAAGGTCTCCAAAGGCGTATGCTGTCCCTCCTGTTTGGAGCGCAAGGTCTTGCAACTTCTCCTCTGCTTGTGAGCCAAGAGCAAAGGTGTGAACGGTGACACCTTTAGCTACTAGCCGTGGGAGCTGATCGGCGATAAATGGTCCTTGATTCTCTTCTCCATCTGATATAAGGATGATCGTGCCGCCACTGGCGAGCGTGCCGGTGGACTCCAGCTCCTGTCAAGTAAGAGTAGATCTCAAGTAAACTACAGCGGAACTCGGCGAATTTTTTTGTGCTCTTTAATTCTAGGTTAACAACCGAAGTATCCCGCGTTGATGTGTTTTTATTTTAGTAAATTGTATGTGTTTACCCCACATATGCGTTAGTTGTTGTTAAAAACAGCCCTATTTATCGCGATCGCGAAACCAAAATTGAGGCTCTCAAAGGGCGGACTCTTGGAGCGGATAGGCGGCGAACCCCCGTTAAATTTCGCCCGGTCACTCTCGCTTTGCATTTGGCGCAACAGCCCCTCTTCAGACTCCAGGCGCAAACAAAACCCTGCCGTGCAAGATACGGCGCTTGTTCGCGGCATATTGGATCCCCGGAGTTTGTAGTTTAGGATAGTTTCTTTTTTCTCCCCCGTTCTTCCTATCTACAAGACACGGTGCTTCATACGGAATCGACGACTAGCCGTCCGAACGGCTGGCATGGCCGGCATACGTACGCCAGCGGACTTGTCTAATGCGTAATGGAAAAAAGAAAACAAAAAAAGAAACAGACAACAACAACACCACCAGCGCGTCTTTCTCTAGGACAACATGCACATGCAACTATTTTCATGTCTAGAAATATTCTGCTTCACTTCTAGGCCACGACAGGCAAATAGAGACCTAAAAAATAAAGGCTACTCTCCACAAAACTTGAAAAACATTACAATCTGACAGAACGGTCAACTGCGTAAAACAATATTTTTAAACAAATAAATATTTTAGACAATTTGCACGAAACTTCACACAAAGAACGAAGCGCTCTGCAAGAGTGAACCCAACGGGATATTGAGCAAGCGTTTTAGGAATGTTCATGAAATGCTTTCGGTGAGCCCAGTTACTTAAAACAAACAGCTCACTTTTTCTTTATTCGTTTAGGGGTTGAGGTGTGAATAGAAATGTTGTAAAGCTCATTACGAAACAACAAAATAAGGTGTTTGCAACATGATGCGCTTTGCAAGCTTCATTTCATTAGACTAAAAAAAAGCCCGCGAAATTTAAAAAAAAAAAAGACCACGTGACAACGTGCTCGGGCGTCGCGCTTGCAGCGCTTTCAGACGTGCTCTGAACGAGCGAGGTTCATCTTATCACTGGCGCGCAGTCAGAGACAGGGTAGCCCCCGGAGATAACCGCGAGAACCTGCTGTCGCCAAGCCCGCAAAGCGTTCCAAGCGCGAACCGTTGGAACTTTGTCAGATGGTATTTTTCTTTTATATTTCGCGGGCTCTCTTTTTAGGCAAATAAAAAGAAGCGCGCAGAGCGTATCAGGTAGGCAACATCTTAGCTAGGTTTTTCTCAATGCGCTCTACAAATTTCCATTTCACACCTCGGAACCTAAACGAATAGGTAAAAAGTGAGCTAATTATTGTGAATTCATTAAGTAACTATTTAGAGTAAAAACATTCCCTGCAATTTCCCAAAACGCTTTTTAATGACGTGCAGTTGGTTTCACCCTCAAAGAGCTCTCGATTTTTTGTTTTTGTTAAGTTTTGTGCAAGGTATCTGTGACACCCTCTATATCGAGTGATATTTTTTATTCAAAACAAATTAAAAAAATATATATATTTAATGCTACGTTAATGCCGTCTTCACTATATGTTTTTCGAGCTCGGCGAATATTCGGGAGGCAAACACCGGTCACTGTCCGATGAGTAATTAACTAAAATTTGTTGATTAACTTTTTAATTAGTGAAAATAGACACATAGTTCTAAACTGAACGTCATCAAAAACACTATATGAACTTTTTTTAGGACGACTTGAAGCTTGTGGGAAACTCGGAGGCGCGACTAGCTTACCACTCGTGAAGCAGGCGCAAAGCCAGCAGTGGCGGAACGCGGATGATTCGATCGTCATCGCGTTCCGCCACTGCTATATTTGCGCCTGCCTCACGAGTAAGAAATTTGGCGCCTCCCCCCCCCCCCCCCCCCCCCCCCCCCGAGGGTTTCCCACGAGCTTTGAGTTGTTCTAAAAAGAAGTTTCAGTAAGTTTCTAATCGGAACTTAAGTTTACTTGCACTAATAAAAAATTTATTGAAATAACTTAGTTAATTACTCACTAAAGTGTGACGACTGTTCGCCCCTCCAGGATCCGCCGAGTTCAAGAAACATATAGCGAAATCGGCACTTATGTAGCGGTAAAGACGCTTTGTGAAAAAATCTGTTTCGAAGAAAACATATTATCCGGTATATAACTGCATACAGATGGGTTTAAATATCACTTGTATACAGTTTGCTTAAAGAAAGGTTGATGTTACTATATAGAATAAAATCACTTCAAATAAAGTCATGATTGTTTCGCAATAATATTGTCGACCTGAGAGAGCGTCAAGTAACACCATAATTTTTTCTTAGTTTGATGAGTCAAATCAGAATTATACAACGGAGTGGACATACACGTACATCTAAAAAAGACGAACAGTAGTACTTGAGCACAATAAAAAAAAAAAAAGACATTGGATTCGATGTAGAGAAGAGAAGCTATCTGGTGGCTGCCGTAAGCCTGCGTGTTATTTAGATGAAACATAGTGGTCAAGTGGTGCATTCCGACCTTCAATTGCCAAGAATGATTGATAACCGACCGTGGACAAGCATGTTGCACGTAATTGACAAGAACACCTGAAACAAGAGAAAAAGCGGCGAGGAGCAAGATTTTCTCAGATGCTCGTTGTCATAGAATAATTGATGACAAGGAGAGGGACGTGGACACTGCGGCAGAGATGAAGTGGGTCTACGTTCTGACTGGTGTGATCGTGATATGCTAGTATATAGAGAGTGGAAAGAATAAGTGAAACAAAGGGTTCTATTTTCAACGGCTTCTACATTTCTACCTAATATGACTGCTATGTCAATAATATTGGCGGAGCTTACTGTAAACTCGGTGTCACCTCAAAAACCAAACTAAAAAATGTTTGGCCGATGGCGGTCTGTTTTTGCCTTTCACCAACGAAACGGCGCCATTACAGGTAGACAGCAGCACATTCCGTCGGACGGTGGTTGGTGGCATATTTTAATACCTAAACAAAATCAGGGCTAGCACTACAGCACTCCCGAGTGAAAAAGCTGCCAGATTACGCCACAAAATCAAGCAAATGTTAAAGCTTGAAATGGTTTTAACAGAAAGCCCTAACCCGCTAACGCTTCTTTCTTGGAATTTGTCCCAAAAGAACTTTCTATTCTTTTGTAGAAGTGGGCACAGGGGCTAAACATTACAGAGACCCGTGAAAGGGTCTTCGCTACGTGATTCATTATGTCTAATACTATTACGACTTGAGACATTTTTCTTAGTTAATGCAAGTTTGTGACTGCGCTCACGTTCTCTGGGTCAGTGCGGATCACTTTTTCGTCCAAGACCATTCCCAGTAACTAAATTCTCGTGACTGCAAACTTTCATCTGTCTCGGATTAGTGTGACTACCGCAGTTTGGGAACTCTGGAGGACCGCGGCTAACCATCGACTCTGCTTGTTCTTGTCTCGCCAATACAATGTCCTCCATATAGTTCTGGACTTCCTAACGTTATGGACGTTTATCCTTAGAAATTGTGCATCCTTTTTGAAGCTTTATAACGCTTGGGAAAACGCCTATTTCTTTCCCTACGAAAAAGGGGATACTGCCTCGAAGCATTTCTCTCCTGACGTTGCCTACTTGGTCCCAGCGAGTGCGAGTTCACTTGAACGGGATGGAAAGTCCGCATAGTCAACTGCACTGGTACCGCTATGAAGGTGATTTTTTTTTTTTCACTTCCATGACAGAACGGGCTTTCTGATCATCATCTTGTTTTCACCAAGGTCGATACCGGCGCTGTACGCACACAAGTGATCCCTGCCAAAAGTAATGTTCCTCGAGCATTCAGTCTTGTAGCACGATTAATTTCACCGGACAGGTGTCTGACTGGATATTGACGTGAGCACTGCACCTCCCGAGAAGTGTTATGCAGTGACCTCTGCAGTTTGCAATTTTGGACCGTGTCACCATGTCGTACTTTCCGAAGGCGGCTAGAGAGCTACTCATTCAAAACCAAAGTCTGCTCCAGTGTCGATACGTGCTGTCACATTATGTTCATCAATGAGAACTTTGCGGTTATTCGACGCCAAGCCGAAATCGTTGTTCTGGGGGTTTTGTCGTCATTTGAATGAGAGTTCTTTGTCGTCTTCGTAGGCTCTCTGCGTCACTCACCCTCGGCAACGCCACATCCAGTCTTCGCCGAGTATAATTTACAGACGGAACAGGGAAGACAGGTTTTCCCTGAGAGAGCAGCGGACGGGTGAAAGCGTATGTCGACGCGATGGCTACCGGGAACCTTGTGGCCGGATTGGTTCCAGGAACGTATGACGTTGCAGATACTCTCGATGTCTCATTGTCGCATCCCAAAACGTTGTCGAGGGTTGTTCGCCGCAAATCCTCACACGCCTGTATGGCGGTATGGGCTTTTCCGGTAAATATGTTCGGCCTCACCGCAGTAATAACAGCGGTCAACGGTCGGCCTTATCGCCACACCTCCATCTTTGGCGCAAGTTGTTTGAGGCGTACGTAGTGGGGCTATGATTTTCGACGCCGGAAAATTTGTGGCGCGGGAGGGTCCCGTGGAGGTGGCATCGGATACGGTCGGGTAGTTGGCGGCGGCCTCTGGCCCATCGCGGAGTATATCAAAGTTAGCTCGACGGGTGCCAAATCCTGCATCGACGGAAGTGTAAGATAATAAAGCCCGCTAGACTTCTTCCCGGACCACAACCTCAGTGATGAAGAGGGATGCCGGGCCATCCGCACCAAGCTGCATCTTCTTGGACTCCTCCGGTACGACGACCCGAACGATCTCGCAAACGCCAGAGAGATCAGGGAGGCTGAAGCTTTAAACTCCGCTGGAAGGCGCAGGGGCATCCAGCTCTAAGCCAAACCTGCGGTGGCATCAACGTGCCCGCCGTGCCAATCAGCCGCCTCTTCGTCGCATGAACCGGCTTTCTCCGGCGGGTTTTGGAAGAAGCGTGATCAAGTTGCGAAAGAGAAATGTATGACTGTTTGGCCGTTCATTCGTTGGGACGGGCCACCGTTTTGTGTAGTGCTGAGTCTCATCCTAGTCGGGATTGTGGACCTTTTCAGGGAAGGGTGCAGATGTACTAAGGGTTATATACAAATTTACGATAGGTTTTGTTTGATTTAGCTTTTCTTGAAGTGCACCGAGTTCTAGCAGTTTTTCTCGGATCCGAAGAATTTTTCGATACTGGGCTTCCTCTACAAAATGTCCTTTTCTTGGACTACAAACCGGACTCGTCTTTCGGAGCCTTGTGGAGAGTCGGTCGAAGGGCATAGGTAGTGGGGTCACGTACGCACCGACACACAGCGGGTTCCGAGAGAACATATCTCCGCTCGACTCGATCACCTCCTGAGAGCTTCGGATTACGTTAACAGACTCAGGTGCGGCGTCATCGGAGGAAATTGCCGCAGGCTTACATCCGTTCCGCGCAATATCGAGGTTGTGTAACATTGGATAATATCCTTGCAATCTCACCATAGCCCCGCGGATACTTCTTTTTCGTCCATGACTGCCGTATTGCCTCGCAATTGGACCCCTTCACGCACCGCTAGGAAACCTTTCGCAGGAAGGTGTAAAGGAATACCGGGCAAGACCACCAAGGAGACGCAACGGAGACGACTTGCGACCAGCGGTCAGGACAGACGCCGACATCGCGTCTTCATTGTTATTCTGAATTCGGCCATGTCACAATCCGTTAACTAAATCAAAAGTTAGTATTCTTACCAACCGTTCTAGGCCAATTTAAAGGGGCCATGCAACAGTTTTTTTTTTTTTTTTGTATTTTGAGCGAATACCGCTTACAACGGATCCCTGACGTTAATGACCTGTGAAAAACCCGTTCGTTTTTCACCACATGCAATGGAAGTCGCAAAAAAATTTAAGGAGAAACGAGCAGTGCAGTGTTCATCCCCTCAACTCGCAAGTAGAACAAGCGGCCACGTGATCTGGAGCCGATTATATGCCGCCAATGTTTATCAGAGCTAAAGTTGATAACGTTAAAGTTGAGGCTAGGGCGAGTTGGTACATACTTCGGAATTAAAAACGGCGCGAAATGACAAGGACCAGACGAAATAACTGACGCAGCGCTGACTTACAACTGAGTTTATTGATCGCAAAAATCGCAATATATACTTGCGCAGTCACGAACAAAAGAGAAAAAATAATTCATCCCTCGTGATACGTCACTAATAAAAAATAAAAAAAAATAAAAAAAAATAAAAAAGGGCGCCATGACACAGCCGTACAACGCACGTGTAAAAAAACGAGCGAGTCAGGGAACTATAAAATTTATCTTTTAGTCTGACCAACCTCGCTATCTCAAGAGCCTCCAGAAATTCCCGAGTAAGCTGGTCCCTATGACGCTTAACAACCTCACACCGTTGGAAGTCGGGTAGGCAACCACAGTCGCGGCAATGAATGCCCAGATGACCTTACACGGTTGTGGAGAAACTGTAAGCGTGCTCTCTTAACCTGTCATTGAGACAGTGGCCCGTCTGGCCGACGTAGCGCTTGCCACACGTCAGAGAGAGAGAATAAAAGACCTCCTCCGAAGACGAGACGAATCGATCTCGATGCCTCGTACTGCAAGCCGTGGCTGCCCTCGAAGAGGGGTTAACAGCTCTGCACAACCTTGACAACTTGTCCGGAGCAGAGAATAAAACGTTGACGTCGCACCTGCCCGAAATGTGTATTAGGTTGTGGGCCAAGCCGTGTATATAGGGAATGACTATAAACTTTCTTATTTCCCTTCTCTTTCTGTTGCTGGCTTCTTCTTCACTTGTCATAGGCCTGCCCTTGATATCTTTGAGCAGAAACTCGGCGACCGTTGTTAACACGTTGGAGGGGAATTCGGCATCTGCGAGGATCAGAGCCACGTGCCGGCGTTGGCAAAGCACAGGACACGCGCTGAGTTCCAGATATTGTTATGGTTCGGCAATTGTCGTCATTGTACTGACTGGACACGGGCCACTACCCGAATGCTTCCCGAGCTATCGAGTATCACGGGCCCAAATCAAGTGTTCACGCAATGCTCGGGTCCATTCTATAAGCCGCATTCAAATATTGTCACTGGGCGGCACTGCGACTGCCCAGCTACGTCATCAAGTTTTGCGAAGGAGAGGCTGAATAAAAACACTCAATTTTGTCCATGAAAATACTCCGCAACAAGGGAGTTTCTTGGCCAGTGGTGTTGCTTGCCAGGGTCCTTGAGTCCCATTAGTGTCAGTATGTTCACGTAAAGTTAAAAACATTCCAACTGAATATCCCTGCACCGCCCCTGTAACCTCGAGTCTGGAACAACCCTAGACAGTACAGTAGCATAACCCAGCAGGCTCACCTGATCTGACAAATGGCAAGTAAGGAAACAATAAATAACTCAGAGAGCCGGCGGTAAATATAACCAGACTGTTCCGAAAATACAACTGACGTGGTGAGCAATGATATCGACGTATCAGCAGGATCGAACGCTTGCAAAAGTCTGACTCGATGCAGCTGCTTTTAGAGACGTTTTGTGTTCCCATACTTGTAAATCAAAACACACTCAAATATGGAGAATCCACTAGATGTTTTGGAAGGTAAGCAACGAATACTAAAAGTAAAATCCAGGCTACCGGCGTTCGAAACCCTGACCTCCGCCTACCCTGCCCATTCGGTCACACACGTTCGAACATTTAATTAAATGAATTGTTAAATATAGATCTTATACCTCAGCTGACATAAAGCGCAATGTATAGTGCTATCACGATGAAATATCACTCTCATATTTCAAGCTTCATATTCTTTATTAACCGTTTTTTTTTAACATTTAGAGTTTGTCGTTTAGTCCGAAGAATCGTTTATTTATAAACACAAACGGGTCACCTTCAATTTACAGCTGATTTCGTACTTCGAGGAAAAAGAAATGAGGGAAGTAGGGTTGTTGGGGTGTAGAAATAACAAATTGGAGGAAAGCTAACAGGCAATTAAGAGAGTATAACAAAGTGCGAGCTATTTTCATGAACGTTTAAAACATCTTGAATAAATAATTACTATTACTCAGACAATTAATGAGGGCTTCTGTGGCCATATTTATGTCTATAGTCAGAGGGTTACCAAAGTCCAAAGAGATGCTGCAGTTCAATTTCTTCCTTTTCTCCTCCACCCAGACCTACCGAAATGTGGGGTATGTAACTGATAGGGATATTATAAGCCCCGTCGAAGCGAAGACTTCCGCTACGTTTTTACACGCGCTCTCATTAGTTTTCATTTCTACAATATTGTTCATCGTCTAGCGCGGAGAGCAATAGATCTACCAGTCAAGCTTGAGATGATATCACTATTACGTCAAAAAGGCTATGTGTACAGGATTGCAAGAAGCGCATCTGGCCGCCCCCATGTCTCTTCTCGGACTGGCAATTGCGTGCTTTTACAAGTTTCCCAATGTTACGCTCATTTGCGCGCTCCACATGCTTGCACGCATACGGCATCAGCGAGGGGCCATGCTTGCAATTGTCTATAGCCCATACGCCTATGCACCGCCTTTTCTTATTCTACCCAAATGGGGCAAAACTTACCTTTATGCCCAATCGAAGACCGCAGCCGATAGAAGTGTAAGGACTGAGGTCAAGGCGTTCCACTTCGTCAGCAAGCTTCCTCCGTGCGCCACTGCTGCTCAATCGTGTGAGGTGCTGCAGAACTTCACAAGACCCGTTAAACTTAACAATGCCCACACTCTCGTCGTCGTTGATCACGTGCCGGATTAAATGGCCGAAGGAGTATCGCAGGAATTGGATCCTACTGTTGTCCTGCATTTGAACGTGACATTTCATTGGAAAATTAAGCTAAGTCTATCAAGCTTGAACAAAGCACGATAATTTCAAAAGCCGTAAATAACACTGGAAAGACACTAGCGGTAATCACCAGCACATTCGTTCCATTCTGGTTCTTACTTCGCTTGGAACGGACTGCCGAGAAGCTCTTCTTGTCCCGGGAAACGAAAGTGCTGGAGGTGGGCACAGTGATCGGCATTCAGCCCGGTTGCGATGTATCGCGTTTAAGTGTCCGGTGGTGAACGAGCCGGAGCGGCTCGTTCGCCACCGGACACTTGAGAGCGTGGGAAACGCTCTCAAGCAAAAACCATTGCTTGAGAGCGTTTCCCACGCCTCCAGCCGCGAGCTTAGGAAACTCGGCTAAATAGCATTTTTTTTTTAATCAATGCATGTCCTGGGGTGGTTTGGTGATGAATGCGGGTACCTACCTCTCCCGGCGACTAAAATCTCAGCACGAAAGATTTTTTTGGTCACGTGACCTTCTTCGAGGGGACAAGGCGCATCAACTCCGCCTGAAGTACTTTCTGCTACCTTGTAAAGGCTAGCGTCGCTTCCGCAGTGCTGCTGCAAGTGCACGTGTCTTCGTTTGACGTCTTATTCGCACACACTTTCGAGCGAAGAAGACGCCAACCAAAGCGATGCGCTCACACAAGTGGCTTTGACTGCATTAGAGCTCTAAACAAGCTACGCCAGCTTTGACACGAAAGCAAAACACAGTTGACGCCGATAGCGTTCCAAGCAAATGGATGCCATAAGGTCATCCTCGCTTCGATTATTCAAGTCCAATTCTACGCGGAATAAGAAAATGAACCGGTGTGAAAATTAAGTGAAATTAATTGCATTCGTGCGCTTTATGGGGCCACATGCAAGGTTATTTCTTGGGGAGGTCGTGATAAGCGAAAATCAAAGAAAACTATGGGCACCGTTTACGTCTCCTGAGTGGAATCTGCTGGGCGCTAAGTACCCTCCCCCTCCCCCTCTTACAGAACCGGCCACGTGACCCTAAAATTCCTGATGCCCGCCAGGGGGAAAACCTGTATCACTAGCAAACCGCCCCCGGCAAAATAACAGGCCGTGGCGAAGTGCAGTAATGAACTGGCCTTGGCACAAGGCTCGCAGATGACATTTAGATATTTAGAAGATGGTTGTCGTAATTTGTCACATGTTTAAGACTTGCGCTGATCAATGATCATGCCCTCTTAGGCAGCCACACCCTTATAGCTAACTGTGACTGTCCTTGTGAGGGTACCCGGAAGTTGTATTGCCGTGATCATTAAAATAAAGTCCAGACTGGTCCCGAATGAAACAAACACAAAGCGGTGGACGTCTACGCAACATCTGATATTTGACAGAAAAGAGCTCCTGCACATCTTCACGACGAATCCGACATCTTATAGGAGACAAAGATGGCAGCAGGCACAAGGCGATATTGGAATGGTGTTTACGGGATAATAAGCATAGCAGAGAAATGTGCTTGCTTGTCACTTCCTAGCGACTCGTGGTGTACATCTTTCTAAAAAAACGCTCCTTGGCCGTCGCGATGGTGATGATGATAATGCAGCTGGTGCGACTCTCGTACCCCCTATCAGCTAGAAATCTTTGCCACTCTCTTGGACTGTGGAAAACTGCTCAGCGCAATTCTACACTTCTCTTTTGCGGTTTTGCATTGTACGTTTTCCAGCCTCTCGTGGAAGTTGTCACATTATTTTTCTTGCGCATGCTGCGTACCCTTTATTAAAATACGACGACCAACCAATCCCTAAATCAGGGGCCCAACGTTTCGAAGCCGGTTCGGCTTCTTCTTCAGGGGCGACTATGGAGGAAAGGAGCCGCAATCTTCTTTTTCCTCTCTGACGGAGGCGAATGTGCATGATTCCATCTTCTTCCTCTTTGATCGTTTTTTGAAGACAACTGGTGGAGTCCGTTCACATACACAGATGGTAGTGCGCCAAGAGACCTATTAATGTTTGTTGGCGTGGTCTGAATGTGCCAAGATTCAAGGAAGAGCCTCCGGCGAGGATTAGTTTCAATGTCCAGGATACGTGTGTTTAGAAAGTCAATGCGGTGGTCATTTTTTTCACAGTGTTCAGCAACCGCGCTGCGCTCTTGATCGAAGTTGCACACATCAGCCTTGTGTTGACGAATCCGTTCATGATAGTTCTTTGTTTCCCCGATGTACGAGGCCGGGCACTCCGCGCAGGGAATCTCGTACACCACACCTTGCGCTTTCTCTTTAGGGGGCCGATCTTTTGGTCGTGGCATAAAGCGTCCAAGGGTTGAAATTGGCTTGTGGGCCATCTGAATGCCCTTTTTTGCTAGCACCCGTGCCAGCGCTTCACTTGTTCCCTTGATGTATGGGACGCTGATGCGCGTGGTTGGCCGGCGTTTCATATCAACCTGCGACTGGCGGTGTTGTCGGCTTCGGTTTTGACGACGGGCAATGCGGTGTATGAAGCTGCCCGTATATCCGTTCTTCTTGAGGTCGCAAATGATGGTTTCTTCTTCTTTTCGTCGGTCAGAATCAGTTCAGCAAAGGTTCTTTGCCCTTGATAGGAGTGTGTTTACCGCCGATACTTTATGGCTCGATGGGTGGTTGGAGTCAAATTGTAAGTACCTTCCGGTGTGCGTTGGTTTGCGGTAAACTGAGAACTGGAGATGGTCTTTCTGCCTTTGTACAAGCACATCGAGAAACGGTAAGGTGTTGTTTTTTTCCCCTTCCACGGTGAATTGGATGTTAGGCTCGATCAAATTGAGGTGTGTCAAAAAGTTGTCTACTTGAGACTTCTTCATGACGCAGAAGCAGTCGTCCACATATCTTAGAAACACCTTAGGGCTTTTAGCAAAGGACTGGAGAGCCTTTTGTTCTATGGCTTCCATGCACAGGTTTGCCGTGGCGACAGAGATGGAGGCCCCCATTGCGGTTCCACTGGTCTGCTTAAAGTACTCTCCTTTGAAGCTGAAATAATTGTTACTCAGGCAGAATTCAAGGAGGCGGCAAAGTTCGTCCACGTTGAGCTTGGTCCTGTTGCTCAAATCGCTGTCTTTCTCCAGGGTGTTTCTGGCAGTCATGACTGCTAAGGAGACCGGAACGCTTGTGAACAGGGATATCACGTCAAAAGATACCAGAATCTCCTCGGCGCTTATCTTTAAAGGCGAAATCTGCTCCACGAAGTCGCTGGCATTGCGCACATATGTCGGGGTTTTCCCAACGAGAGGAGAGACAGTGTGATGAAGGTAGTTTGACAATGCTTTGAGAGGAGAGGTGGTGAAGTCAACGATGGGTCGGAGGGGGACGTCAGGTTTGTGTATTTTTGGAAGTGCGTAGAAACCGGGGGTAAAGCCATTCCAGCAAAGAAGGCGCAGGTGAAGGCTCCTGGAATCTGGGTGACCTTTGAAAATATCTGTAAGAATCTTGTTCAACTTCGTCTGGACTTGTGATGTTGGGTCTCTCTTGAGTTTTTCATACGTAGAGCAGTCAATGAGATCACGGACCTTATGCTCGTAGGCATCCCGGTCTAGGACGACCGTTGAGTTGCCCTTATCCGCTGGCAGGATCACAATGTTGTTGTCCTCTCGAAGCTTCCGAAGAGCATACCATCTGTGTATGTGGATGGACTCCACCAGTTGTCTTCAAAAACGATCAAAGAGGAAGAACATGGGATCATGCACATTCGCCTCCGTCATAGAGGAAAAAGAAGATTGCGGCTCCTTACCTCCATAGTCGCCCCTGCCAGAAGAAGCAAAACCGGCTTCGAAACGGTGGGCCCCTGATTTTGGGATTGGTTGGTCGTCGTATTCTAATAATCATTCCCCAACCAGACAGACTTCTGTCTAATGTTTACTTTTATGCGTACCTTTTCGTGCTATCTTCCACTGTGAGATATAGGGCAGCTAGGTGCCTGCCATTCAAGCGTTTCTGCTCGACATTCACGGGAAACGTAGAAGGCGAAGAACGTCGAACGGCCCTCGACGTGATTTCGCGAACAAAGGCGGCCTTTACGTGGATGCGACCGTAGCGTGTTGAATCGACCGGTGCCGACACCTCACGTCCAATGCTTACAGCGCACCTAACGTGACCTGTCGGGAAAGCGGGGGTGGGGGATTAGTGGTGTCCACCAGCGACAACGAGGTCTGGGCGGGGGCACGAGCCGGATGGGGGGAGTTCTAGAGTCATCTTAGCTTTTCCCCCCTCCCTCCTTCTCCCCATTTGCCCGTCCTTCAGACACTCGACTCGATTCGCTAGAGTTTACATGGAGGTCTCGGCTTGGCTTGAAAATTTCAAGCCAACCTTTTCAAACGGATCGGATCGGACCCGATTCGATGCACTAGGAAAGCGAATCGAAGCGTTCACATCGGACGATTCGATACGCTAACTGGATTCGATCCGCTACTGTCGTATCCATGAGAACGCAGTCAAGGACAACTGATCTCCCCACTCCTCGACATAATAGGCGCAGTAGAGTGCTCAGTCATCGCCAAAAAATAGCCGGTCGGATTGGGGTGGTAAACAGGTCAGTCTGTTCCCGTTTCTTTGCTTTAGTTGGTGCTGGTGTGGTGAAAAAAAAGGAGTTCTCTCCAAATCGCACCCTCTGAGATTCCCACCGATTGTCAAGAGGTGAATGGCGTGAACACTTTAGTGCTATGTTATTTGACATGTTTCTGAAATAAATCCTTTTTTTTATAATGCTGCACTGTGTAGTACGTACAGTATATTGTTAGAATCTTAAAACTTGCTAAATTTAACGTCCATGTCCTGTCGCGTTCTTCGGCAAACACGTTATTTGTGAGCGTGAAATAGGCATGCCTTTCTGCTATCTTCTGTCTTAAACTATTTTCGATAGCTAAGCCCTTTGACGAATAACACGGCAAAGCGGACGGCGTCGTCAAAACTCATCGTAAAATACATCAAACATGCCAGTCGCATCCATTCTGACGCGCGCATACACAACAAATATAGCGTTTTTTCAAAGATGGTACAGTGT